ACCAGCCACAATTCAAGTCCTGGACTTGAATACATGGTGTAACCATTACACTATCTGCTGGTTTGAGTCCCAGATCTGATGGCTTGAAAATTGTGCTAGGCATGTATGAGTGCATGCCCAAAATCCCAGGAAGGAATGGAGAAGAAGGGATTGCGGCAAGGCCATTCATCTGGTGGGGGGATTTCTCACTTTCCCTCTCACTGTCTCTCTCTATTTCTGTCTGGCAAGTTCATATGCCCTATGGTAAAAACCTTTTAAAAAAAAGAAAGAAAAGTAGAGAAGCAGTGTCAAAAGCACAGTGATTTTATTTTCCCAACCTAAATATGAAGGGTTTGCAAAAAGTGCATGAAAAATGTGCATTGTGAAAAAGCTGCATGGATTTCAATATTTTTGCACCCAAATAAACTCACATTTTAATTTAATTTTACACAAAGTTTGTAAAGTATGCTTGTATTATAGCATATGTTCTAACCAGTAAAAACTTATTTAGCAGGTAATAGAAAGTACAGGTTCATTATCCCTCCTCAGAAATGCTCAGGGCCAGAGTGTTTTATATTTTGACTTTATTCTCTTGAAATATTTTTATATACATAATGAGAATTCTTTAGGATGGAACCCAAGTCCAAACATGAAATTCATGTATGTCTCATATACACCTTACACATGGAGTCTGAAGGTACTTTTATACAATGTTTTTGTATTGCAAACTTTGTCCGTGACCTGTCACATTACGTTAGGTGTGAAATTTTCTACTTGTGGCATCATATTGGAACTCAAAAAGTTTTTAATTGTGGAACATTCTTAATTTTCAAATTAGGGGTGTTCAACCTGTAATATCTGAAATTGAGATTGCTCCTCCAAATCTCAAAGGCATGGTGTTGAAGCTCAAAACAAAAGGAGGATGATTCATGTTGTAGCCTTCCAGTTTCCCACCTTGAGATCTGATTCAGCCAATGTTTTAGTCCTCTTTTTTAATTTTTTTTTCTTTTTTTTCTAATTTGTTTTAAGATAGGTTTTTTTTTTTTTCTATAGGGCACATGCACTGGCCAGAAAGACAGAGAGACTAAAGGGGAGAAATTTTCCCCCAGGGGATATGACCATGCTGTAGTCGCTTCTCCTCCATTCTCCTCTTAGGATCTTGGACACGTATGCACACTTGCCTGGCATGCGTTTAAGCCACCGGGTCCAGGATTCAAACTGCAGTCAACTACATGGGAATCCAGTGATGTAACTATTATGCTATCTGCTGTCCTCCTTTTCAAATGTTCCTCCTTTTCCTGTGGGCTGCCCCAGCCACATTGACCTCTTTTTGGTCCTTTGAACCAGACCAGCTTGATTCTGTCTCAGATAGTTTGCACTGGCTCTATTCCTTCTTCCTGAGCCTCTCTTCTCTTAATCTTTCCAAGGCTCCCTCTCCTATCCAAGTCTCTCAGCCCAAGCTTCATGTTTTCACAGAGACTTTCCTTAATAGCACCACCTCCAGCAACCTCTCGCCCCAGTCACTCTTGAGTTTATGACTCAGTTTCATTCTCTTCCTAGCATTTACTCCCACAGGGAAGCATCTTCTGTGTTTATCGTCTGTGTCCACTGCCACCCTACCAGTAATCCACAACAATACTAATCTACTCTGAGCTGCAGATGCCACACCTATAAAATTACAAAGCTGGGGGTCAGCAGATGGTGTAGCAGTTATGTCACTGGACTCACACATGACTGACCACGGTTCGAGTCCTGACCCCAGTGGTTTGAAATTCATGTAAGCTGCATGTGTGTGCATGCCCAAGATCCCAGGAGGAGAATGAAGGAGACCGGATTGCTGCAAAGTTACCCCCGCTAGGCGGTGATTTCTCACTTTCTTCTCACTGTCTCTGTCTCTCTCTTTCCAGCAAAGGCATATCCCCTAAAGCAAAAACCTCTAAAAGTCAATCAATCAATCAACAAATTGCCAAAGCTCAAAGTCTCTTCTGTCCTTCCCAGTGACCATTCATTAAAAGGAGAAATCTATAATTTTTCTCCTTGTGTTACAGGACTACAGTGAAGTAGATCCATCAAAAACTACGAAATAGGGTCAATGAGGTTTACCTTTGAGGGTGAACATTAATAGTGAAATACACAGTTATCTCAGGGGGAGGAGAGGGCTTCTAGAGTAGCAAGATCCCAGTAGTCACCAGCTTCCTGTGTTAACATGTCAAAAAGAAAAAAGATAATAATCAATTACAAGTCAGAATATTGTCTAACCTTAACAAGAAGGAGAGGCCAGAGGCAAAGGCTACTTCTACTCTTCTACATTTGGTCCAAGGGAAGGGTCTTCAGTAGCTTTATCTCCTTCCCAGTGGAAAGGCTGGCCTCTATGTCCAGAGAAACAGAAAAAAATGCTAACAGGCTTTAAGTAGTTTCAAGGGAGTGTAGGGCAGTGGTTAGGAGTCCAGACCCTACATAGCTGAGTTCAAATCCTGACTCCATCAGTTACTAATTACATGACCCAGACAAGTTATTAAACTGGTACTGCCACTTCTTCACCTGTAAAATGGAAGAGATAATAATAGCAAGTACCCCCAAGAATTGCTGGGAGGATTAAGTTAATACATGTAAGGCACTTCAAGCAGGGTCTGTAATTATAATTTCATTGGCCAAGCTATCTCTGGCTAACATGCAAGCCTCATACCTAATGATATGAAGTATTTGTCTCACCTTACTCTGACACAGCTCTCAACAAGCAGCTTACTCCTTGCCATGTAGAGCTGCTTACACAGAAAAGAGGTTCTGAGAAATCCCCATTCCAGAGCCTGCACTTTATTAGGGCAAATAGATAAATTCCCTGTGCTTGTGTCTGGACTTCCCACATTGCTTGGCCATGAAGGCAAGATGCAGGTATGATTTGTTCGTGTGTGTGTGTGTGTGTGTGTGTGTGTGTATGTGTTTTCTTTAGGGAGAGAGAGAGAAAGTGACAAAGTGCACCCCTCTCCCGCAAGAGGGGATGACTACACTGCAATCCCTTCTCCACTTTCCTCTTAGGATTTTGGGTATGCACGCACACACACCCAGCACGTTTATTCATACCACTGAGTCTGGGACTCAGCCACACTGTCAGCCATGTGGAATCTGGCCCCTTTAATACCACCCCACCTGGCTGGTCCAAGATGCAAGCATGATGGTGATGGAGGATTTCTGGTCCAGATCTGTTCAGTGTCTGTCTCAGCTTTATTGGGTTTGAGTTAGAATACAGGCTCTCAGGTTGTGCTTTCACTAAGGGTGGTGTGCATGAGTCCTCAGCTGCTCAGAGGGCCAGCTATAGCTGGTTTTGCCTCTGAATAGGGGTACCCCCACCCCTGGACTAGTTCCCTGTCTGATCCCGCATATCGTGAGGGGCTAAACAGTCTCTGAGCCTGCTGTTCCTGCTGTGGCCACGTATGCTTGAAAGAATAAATAACTTTTGTAAAACTGGACGGTTAAAAAATATAGGACAGGTGGGAGCTGCAAACAGGATCATTAACTCAAGGGCTCACCCTGATCTGCAGGGACTCCTCAAGAAAATGTCCAAATGTTTTTATTTCATTCTGTGTTCCTATCTGAGAGTCAACTCTTTAGGGACCCATGTGCGTTTTTAGCCTATTTGATTAAAAGTGTGTTATTCTGGAAAGGTTAGAGAACTTCAATGGTTAACATCAGTGGGAATATGTTCAATAATATTTCTTTTCCCTTGGCACCTTTCTAGGTTGGGTGATCTTCTGGAATTGGGCAAATTTGTGAGTTTAGCTTGTTTTAGAGAGGGGAGAAAGAGGAGGGATGGAGAAATATGAGGGAGCAGTAGATGACATAATAGTTATGTCGCTGGACTCCCGTATGTCTATCCATATTTGATTCCCGGACCGGGAGGTTTGAAACTCATGCAGGGTGCATGTGCAAGTGTACCCAAAATCCTAGAGGAGAATGGAAGAGAAGGGATAGTGGCATGGCCATCCCCCTTGGGGTGATTTGTTTTTGCTTTCTGTCTCTGTCTCTTGGGCAAGTACACATGCCCTGCAACAAAATATTTATCTCTCTCTCAAAAAAATGAGAAGTATGAAACACCTTAAGTGGGCCATGAAACCTGCTTAGTGTGTAGGAAGAACTTGAGAGGCTTTGAGTGACTTTGAGCTATGACATGGGTTATGATGGCATTCGAGGTTGACCTGAAAGGTCAGTATATTGTTACCCTGAAAAAAAAATTCAACTTGCGATCCAAATAAGTAACATGTAAAGGAACTTTTGAAATGTAACCCATTCCAAGTAACTTCTTACTTGAGGGTCTTCCTGTGTGGGGTTCAGAAAAACAAGAACCCAGGATGCATTTGCTGTGGCACCAGGCTAAAAAAGACAGGTCAGAAGCATAGAGCATGTAACGAGTTAGAGCTGGAAGAACAGCGTCCCTGGGGTTTGAGGCAGGCACTGACCTGTTGAAAACCCCAGCTAGCTAGCAGCAATGTTTCTCCAGATCCCAGGAGAAACAATGTCCTGCATTTCAGGAGAGGACGCTTAGCACACTTAGGTTATGTGGACACTTCATTCTGGGTTCTTGGGCCAGCTAATGTCTCTTGACTCTCAGGGAGTCCAGGGCCAAAGTCCGGTCCACTTTCCTCCTAAGAGTCCTTGCAGAAGGGAGATACAGATAATAATCCAGCGGAGGCAGCGAACGAAGTCTTTGGTTTGAGAAAGCCTGCGTGAAAAAGACCTGCATCTAGACACAACTGAGGCTTAGCGCCCAAGGATACTTCTATGGAAGGGGTGAGGGAAGCGGGCTCAGGAGGATCGAGTGAGGTCAACTAGCAAAGGGGAGGTGTGGGCGCCCACTGAGAAGGGAGACTTGAGAGGACAGTGGTTGCAGCGAAGTGGAGAGAAGCCGGACAGGGAAGGCGCTAGGGAAACTGTCCCTGCAGCGACTGGCGCTCGGGGACTGAGGCGGGGAGGGTCTGGGCCGGCGCGCGGCGTGTGACCGCCGAGGCTGCGGCGGCTGGAACAGGTGAGCGGCCGCGGGGAGGCGGTCCCCGCCCTTCCTCGCGGGCGTGCCTCCTCCTACGGATTCCTGGCGCTTAGCTGTTCCGTGCGTGGCTCCCCTCGGTTTGGGGTTTTGCAACTGGCAGCTGGCTTTTTTCCCCTCCCCTGTCTCGGTCTCTCCTTCTTTTAGGTTGCTCCACCCCGCCCAAGAGCAGGCGAGGGGGAACCAGCCTGGCTGCTGCTGCCAACTCTCGCCGAGTGTGTCTGCGAACTCCGGGAGAGAAGTCCCGAGTCCTGCCTCCTCCCTGCCGGGCGCGCTCTCCGAGCTTCCCAGCCCCGCGTCCTACACCCCGCAACCCTTCTGCACTTTTCCCCCCTTTAGCAATCACATGGCATTTTAAGAATGCCGGAAAGATGGCGGTAGCGGCGGCGGCGGTAGCGGCGGCGGTCGCGCCGGCAGGCGGGGGAGGCGGCCGGGCGCAGCGGAGCGGGCTGCTGGAAGTTTTGGTGCGGGATCGCTGGCACAAAGTTCTGGTGAACTTGAGCGAGGACGCCCTGGTTCTGAGCTGCGCGGAGT